GGGGGTATGGGGCCTGGTTTTATCATGAGCACACCCCCTCCTACTGTCTCGCTCTGGTTCCCTCTTTATGTTTCCAGTTGAAGATCTTTTTTGCTAGGTTCCAGTCTTATTTTTTCCAATGGTTATTTAGCAGTCGGTTGTGGTTTTGCAGTCATGAGGGGAAGTGAGCTCATGGTCCTATTCCTCCTCCATCTTAACCAGAATTTGGGATATTTTTATTCTTATATCATCTCAACAAACATTTATCAGCCCCAGACATGCCAGATGCTGCTAGCATTGGGAACGTGATAGTGACCAGACACAAGGCTCCTTTCCCTGCAGATGGGAAACAAAAAGGGACATGGCTAATAAGTCACAACTGTGATAAGTGTCATGAGGAGAAAGTACAGGACCCGGTGCTGTGAGAAGTGTATTCCAGGAGGACTTGACTGGGTGTTGAGGGACACACTTGGCATGTGGGAGGGCTGTGAGGTGGGCAGCAGGAAGTTTAAGGCTGGAAAAAATATTTTCAGGGAAAGAGTGGCCAAGAGGAGGCTGGCCAAGTGGGTAGGGGGTTGGATCCCCTCAGACACCATGGTGCTGACCAAGAGCATGGGCCTTGGAATTGTACCTCCCAGCTGTCGGACCTTAGGCAAAACACTTAACCACTCTCAGCTTCAGTGTCTTCTCTGTCAAATGGGCATCACAATAGCCCCTGCCCAACAGAGTGGAAGGGAGGATGACGTACAGAAATACGTATAAAGAAATACAAATAAATACATATTGCTATTGTAATAGCAACTCTCACAGGAACCAACTCTTCCCAAGACTCAACGGCCCCTCTCAGAGGTACCATCACTTTCTGGGCACCCTGGTTCTAACCTTTGAGGTCATTCCTGACTTGCTCTTGTCTGTTCTACTCACCCCACTGTTCTGAGCCCCACCAGTCCCCAGTCATCCCATTTCCCCTCACAGGTCAGCCCTTGCCTCTCCCTGCCTCCAGCTGCTCCCACATATCACCTCCAGAGACATGCTGCTTTTCACCTGTCAACTCTCCTACCCCTGCTGACACACGGGCCTTGGCCTTTCATTGCCTGCAGGTTAAAACCAAATGCCTTTGCTTGGCACTCAAGACTGTCTCTGAACCCAATTCTACACAGCCCTCTGACGTCAGTCTGCCACTTACGTCGAACTGTATTTCCTGAACACGCCTGCCTCTTGTGCTCTCCTCTTCCCTCTTCTGAGCCTTACAAGCTGTCCATTCCCAGTTCATTTCCCAACCTGCCTCCGCCGTGCTGAGTAGGAGTCTCACATACTGGCCGTTCCAGAAGTAGAAAACAAACAACTGGCTTTGGAGACAGACCTGACTTTGATTCCTGGCTTTGGCATTTAGAATCTGTGTGGATTTAAGTTGCTCACGTACTCAGTTTCCTGATATCTAAAGAAGGTATAATACTGACTTATGGGGCTTTTGAGGATTAAGTAAGATATGTCTTTATAGTACTTTAAATCCAACCATCTCCCATGCCTAAAAGACATGTAAAGCTTTACTTCTTGCAGAACTCCCTTCCAAGCTCCAGACTTGCATACCAATAGATTCCAAGGCATTTCCACTTGAATGTCCCACAGGAACCCCAAATTTAACATGTCCAGAATGGAATCCCTTATCTTCCTTCTGAACCTCTTGCTTCAGAATTCCCTATGTGTGAAGATGGCACTGTTGGCCACTCAGTCCCCAAGGAGGAGCCCAGGTGGCTTCCCAGACACCTCCCTTCCCTCACTGCTCAGGCCAGCCTGCCGTGTCCTGTCCCTGCCTCCTCCTACCTGTCTCCTAGAGTACCTTCCCTTCTCTGTGTCCCTCCCACAGCTCAGTCCACACCTTCCTCACTTTTTGTCTGTTTCCTGCAGCCTGGGTTTCCTGCTGCCCAGCTGGCCTTTCTGTGCAAAACAAATCCAGTGATTGGGTTATAGTTACAGCACCTGGGACTGGCTTTCTTGGGCCCTTGGGCATCGTGTGCCCTGGCCAATACCTCGTGGCTCTGCCCCTGCCTCACCTTTTCTTTTGCCAGCTCTTTCTTCATCAGCTCCCTCCTACACACCCATCAAAACTTAAATGTTTTTCTTAGAGGAAGGCTTCCATGTGTCCCAGAGTGATTTAGCCATCCCTCATCCTTGCCCCCTCCCTGCACTCCACGCTTATCTTGTCGGACCTGTTAGGTTTATTAACTTTTAGACTCTTTCCCTTCCCAGCACCTACCACATAATGGGCATGAAATGAATGTGTGCTAAGTTGGTGTTAAGTAAACAGAGGTGTCCCTTAAACCATGTTAGTTCCTTTTTAACATCCACAAATGAGTCTCCAGTGTTACCTGTGAGTTCAGCGGGCCCCATGTGATCCCTCAACGGAATCAGCCCCGCCTTGCCTGCCCCACATCCCAAAGCCTACCATCCTTCAAGGTGCAGGTCAAATCCCGACTTGTCTGAATAGCTTCTTCAGTGACCCCAGCCCTCATTCCTTTCTCGGAATATGCTACAGGTGATTTGATTGCATGCTTTCTCAGTCCCATTTTTGTTACCTTAGTACATATTATGGTTATGAATACATTAACATATTTCAGCTTGTTTATTCACACCATAACAGGGGCAGCAGACAGCAGAGTAGCAAGTGCAAAGTACGGCCGAGGAGCCAAAGAGAGAGGAGCTGAGGGGGCCTCAGAAAGGAGGGGGAGAAAAAGGGACTGGGGACTGGAGGAGCTGCAGGTAGTGTGGCAAGACCTGGGCCAGGACCTGTGGGGAGTGGGAGGACAGGAGGCCATGCTGAGGACAGACTGTAGCCTGAAAGTGGTGAGGGCCAATGAGGAGTTTGCTTTCACATAAGTCTACAGTGTTGTACTTGATCCAGAGCTGTGTGGTGCTGAGAGCTGAACTTGACCTTCTGCCCCCACCTTCCCCCACCACCAATACCACACCCCCCTCACTCCCCTGGGGCCGTGTTGAGCTGTGTCC